CAATTCAGGATGATGCTGCATTACGTACAACACATCACCAGTTAGCAGCGTGTTGTAGAGATCCCCAAATTTCAATCGATCGGACCAATCACCGACAAGCTCGCAGAAGCAGAACACAGAGAGGATACTGGCATTAAGACAATGAGCTGGACGCCAAATGAGAATGCGCTGGGGTTCCATATATCCTGATATGTATTTCTGTTCATAGTAAGCTGTATTCTGAAGCCCTGAGGAATGAAATATTTGCAAATGTGGATATATCTTTGTTGAAGAGATTTGCACCACCACTAAATTCCCCATCGCCATCTTCCTGTGGTAGAAAACAGGACATTTGTGGACAGTCCACAACATCCTTAAAGTTTTAGTCCCCTAGTTTGAATGGCAAATCACGCGATAGTTCATGGCTCTACATTGCTCTACTCCATCAACATAACATTGATTGATGAAGACAACCATATTTCATTTGATCGACCCCTTCGAAGTATAGAAATCCACCGAGTGAGTGCCAAAGCATATGGCGTCGTGATTACCGCCTTCTTTGCAATTACATGTCACTGATGTTGTCTGCATTGGATATTGAAATTTACCGACCTAATTAAAGCACGGAAATTAAACAAATGTAAAAACGTCACCAACCACATAGGTGGGCAATGCGGAAGATTTAGACTATGAAGTTATATGCATTCACCAAGTGTAAACTGACAGACTAATGGAATAACGATTTGGTGACTGTAGCCAAGGAGGTACATAAACTGCAGCCGTGTACCTTAGATGGACACAGCAGACCGTGCCCAGTTTTTGATTAAAATAAACCACCACCACTCACTACTTACTCGGCATAAGGAGGCAAAGCCATAAAATTCACTGTCTTGCTTATCGTCAAATTTCTGCACATCTTCTACTCTAATCACCTGCGACACATCAACCCAATCACTGCTAACACAGCCTTCAGAGCCATAATCGTCTTCCTCGTAGAGTGAAAGAATTCCGTTTGCTTCCGCCCACTCGTACCACGAAAGCTTTGGCGCAAATCGTTGCAAATGCACAGGCAATTCCGCCAGCACGTGTGTCGTCTTCTTCGCCAACAACACTCTGCTTTCCAGGTATCCGAAGTAGCTGTTTGGGGATTCAACATTCGGATGGCTGAAGAGGAACAAAACGGCCTTTACCACATCCAAAAGTGTGTAATAGCTATAAGTTCAGACAGCAGGAGGAGGTATTACTTGCAAAGCCGTAATAGTGACAGTTATTTGAAAACCACCAAAACCTACGCAAAGGATCATCACTTTCTGCAAAACATATTCCATTGTGTCTCCTCACTAGGTCCTGCAGAGTTTTTAGATAACATTTAACGGATTTGACAGTAAAACACCATCTGCATCACTCTATACAAAAGGCCTCTACATCGACACCCGTGTCAACATGTGCCGCACAGTGTTGATAAGCAAACAGGGCTCAAGTGATTTTGCATTGCTGTTCTGTGGAAAAGTTGAGAAGTACCTAAGACATTTATTCGGCAAAGTAAATGTCACTGCTGAAATCTTTCTTCAAAGCGCATTGAGCACTGAATCTAGAACTAGCACAATTATCAAAACACGCCTTTTTGGATGATAAAAGAAGCTGCATTTAAGTAGTCAGCAAAGGTACTGGTGCACATTTTTCGTTGGCTGGTATTGGTGTTGATAAGTGCATTAATAAATGCGTAATTTGGTAAAAACAATGTATATTATAGATTTAAAGCCCTGTGTCGTATCCGAGTGATGGTCCACAAGCGACATTCAACTCATCAATCTTCCATACCAATATCAACAATACATCGATGAAGTTTCCTAAATCTCCTTAATGAATGGATTATGTGCGTGTCGCATCTTATTATGTAATAAGTGCGGAAACGTGATAAATTGGATTTCCAAGTGATCCTGCGTAAAATTGTCTCCTCTGAGTCGACTGCCGTGTGTATTGTGTGGGGTTTCAATTGGTCAGCAATAGACTTCTTTAGAATGCAATTAAAATTACTAACCGGCATGTGCCTAGTGTTCGTGTTGGTCAAACTTGTAGATGTTGCAGTCTCCAGGCCGATTATAGACTTATTCAGCTCATCGACAATCCGAATTCCACTTTGCTAAGCAACATATTTGGGTAGCTGGAGGACAGAGTAATATTTGCGTAGAAGACGATGCGGGTATTGGCTGGTCTGCTTGCAAATGTTCAACGCTTTGTGCCGAAACGAAGCCTGGTGCGTATGGACAGAAACCGACACATATAATGCAGCTAATTAGAAAGATGATAACGGTGATGATGATGTAAATGATGTGGAGGAGACCATGCTGAAATAAACGTATAGATTGACGCCACCCTGTGTTGTCATTGTCTCTACGCTCACGATCCGTGACGTGTGCTGCTTAGTAAGGGATTTATTAGTAACCGTGTCTAGGATTGCTCATCTGTGTTCACTTGAGGTTACAATTGCTGTAGAAAGTAATTTGATGCATTGACCGGTTGCCACACAGTTTCGTCTGTCACTACTTTAGAAAAAGGCATTTGCTTTTGATCTTTTACTAAACATTTGATCGCACATTTTAATCACATTCACTTCAAGAAATTTCCGTATCCCGTTAATGCAAATATTTGCAGCTTGTGCCCCTAAGGACAATTATGAAGGCTTTTACAAGACTGCAGCCGCATCAAAGCATCGTGGCATGCCACCGTACACAGAAGTGAGCGTAAGAAGTTAAAATCTGATGTTAGCAGTAAGCAAATGTATTTTTTAAAAAC